AATTCTGCGCTGAAGTGACGGCACCGTTGGCTATCAAATGAGGACTGACTCCCAGATTGTATAACGGAATTCCTTCCGATGAATAGATACCAAAATCGGGATACACTGTATTGGATGTGGTGTTCATTATTGGGTTATAAATAACAGTGTTGTGAGCGCTTCGGTAGTCTTCAGGAACACAATATTATCATTAATTAAATGTCATTTAAATTATCAAAAGTGCAAACCATTGAAGTGTTGCTGCTTTTTGATGGCGACAGAGATATTGAGCTTTCGGTTCTTAATCAACAGATTGTCGCTCTCTTTCAGCACACGTTTGGCGTCGTCTTCAGTCTCGTAAGTGACAAATCCATAGCTAAAATAACAATCAATTCAAACCAAACATTAACAACACATTCATTATTTCGATGGCAATGAGCTGCAGACCCGCGAGGAATTCCGGCCCTATCGGTGATGATCTTCACGGACACAACGTTACCAAACTGTGAGAACAGATTCTTCACTTCAAACTCCTTTGCCTTTAATGATTAAGACAAGTGTTAAGACAATTGAATGGACACTAAATACAAGCATTGAATGCAAAATGAATACAAACATCGGTAGGGATTCCGCCGACAAACACACGGTTTGGCACTGTTTTACAAGAGAAGACATTTCATCATATGTTTAATATGGGATCAGTTGATGGACAATACCTGGAGTGCCATATTTGGGTGCATTCAATGAGTTTCGGTTGCCATCCATTGTCTTGTTTGAGGTATCATTGGATGTATGCGTCGAGTCATTCATCGGCGACGAGGATGTGGTGGTCGGTGGCGACGAAGAGTTGGACATATCGTTGTTGGTGTCGGTCTGCGGGCGAAACGGGATAGCAATTAGTGGTCACATGTATTGATCACAAACACCACAATCAGAGATGATTAACACAAATACTTGAACTCAATTATGAAACACATGTTTTGATATGAAATGTTATGAATGAGTGGTAAATGTGTTAATCATATCGAGAGATACACTATTGAAAAGTCAATGCATTTACCATTAGTTCACTAATAAATGCTTCAAAACTATTATTATTATTATTAAGCGATTG